AGCTTTGAATGGCAACCAGTAGATGAGAAGGAAAACCGGACCATGGAGAATGTAAAGGGGAGCTATTCCACTATTTTCGGTAAGAATGCATGGGAATTCAGTGATAAAGAAAAATCTCTGGAGGGTTCTGATTACCTATTTACTGATCAGACATACCATTTAAAAGAAATGCCAGGTATTAACTGTGACATTACTGCATAAATTGTTTGCTCTACAGGTAAATGTAATTTAAGTATGTTTCATTAACAAAGACAAGTTGTTTGAAAGTATTTGTCACTCGATTATTATTGTTACAGGTGAGATAGCATTGACTGGTGATCATTAGTTGGCAGATTTTTATGATTTTAACTATTAGTAGGAAATAGGTATATTTTTGAGAGATGCTATTTTTTAGATCATGTATTTTTGTTATGGCTTTCACTTTTGTTATTGGTAGTGCTTCTACAAACTGGCAAAAGCCATAACAAAAATTTTAACCCCTCTCCTAGGAACAATTAGCCTATCACATGTTAAAAAATTCAGACACCCTGATTGAAAAACTAAGGGAATAAATAAATACATAACTAGTTTAGATGTTAAATCCCTTTACACTAATGTTCCTGTTAACAAATGCTTACATCTTTTCAAAAACTATCTAATAATTATAATCAATAATTATAATCAATAAAGAAATACCAGAGAGTAACTGTGCCATCAGTGTATAAACTATTGTTTGATCTCCAGATCAATGTAGTTTAATCATATACAGTGTAACCCGGATATAAGAGACCCGGAAATAAGAGAAACCCGGATATAAGAGAGATTTTCTCTGGTCCCAAATTAGAGCCTGTGTTAATGTATATATAATAGACCAAACCCGGATATAAGAGAAACCCGGATATAAGAGACTTCTTCTCCAGTCCCGACAACTCTCTTATATCCGGGTTACACTGTATCATCAAGAGAGTCAAGTCATTCGGAAAGTATTATCACTACATTGCTTAAAAATGCTGCAAAATCAACTTGGAGTTGTCCAATCAATAATGTTTCTGGTCGGCATCCAAAAATTTTGGCACCCGCTTGGCTGACAATTTCTGCATACCCAAGCACTTATGAATTATAAACCCAATATGGTCTCTGGATATCTTGTATCTCAGCAATATTTTTAACAAATCTGTTGATCAGCTGAAAGTAGTTTATGAACATGATCAGCAATTTCAGGAATTGACA